CTCTCGTCGGTGAACACGATTACCGAATTTTTTCGCTTAAGGAAGTTCAAGATTTTCTTGCAACGTTCGACTCGGAGCTTCCGGATTCGGTTGGTAATCATGTGAGTTTTTTTTCCGTGCCCTCGACTTCGCCCCGCAATCTTCCTTTACGATCTTACGTGCCGTAAAGTCACTGATCCCGTGTTCCTTTGCCATTTTCCTTATTGAACGCACTGGATTTACCCGAATCTTCCTTTTGATAGCAGCGATAACCCTCGGAACCCGAGCTGACCTCAGACGACCTGTGGCCACCTTCGCGGATAGTTGTCCTTTTTTTTCTCGGTCTAAAACCCTTTTGACGGGTTGGGGGCGACCCCAGCGTAGTGGTTAACATCCATACCTCTCACGCCAAAGTAACGAGTTCAAATCTCACCCCGGACAAGTCACGAATGACCCAAGAGTGTTTAAGTGACTATAAAAAAAAAAAAGAAACCCTTTTGACGGTCCACCGGGACACTCCCACGGCGATTGAAATGTCTTTTTACGACATTTGCGCGTGGGACAAATCACGAATACGCTGCCACTTCGTCATGGTGCAACTGTCAAACTAAGTAAATCATTTTCTTTTATACACAGCCTACTACCAACAATCAATACGAAACTAACGATTTTTAATTGGCTCACTACTTGACTAGCCTATTGGTCCCAAGCAAACGATTACCGTACCCCACTCTAGTCAAAATTCTAGTACTGCACAATGTTTGTTTTGATTCGCTATGAAAGTTTGACAGATAAAATGAGGGGTTAGTGGAATTTCCTATGTTTCGAGGGGTGAATCGATTAGCTTGGGACCGAAGATAGTACCAGAGCCAAAAAGTAGAGCTCGTTTCTTCGGGACCTACTAGTCTTAAGGCCCACGCACATTAGATCCGGATCGGACGCGTTGCGGCAAAGTGACAGCTAAATCTATTGTCTAACTGTTAAATTTACGTTAACGCAACGCAAACGGATCTAATGTGGGTGGCCCTTTAGAGTTACCTCTCTGGTACTACGGTATGAGCTATAGGTTACGTGCATGCAAAGAAAACCAAGGCATTGCACATTGGGCCAGAAATCCAATCTAGCGGAGCAAAATTAATATCTCTGAAACGAAGCATTTAAGCGACTTAGTGTCTTCGATAAAGTATCTTATCATAATAAGGACCATCTATTGACATAGACAAATAGTTCAAAACTCTTCCGCAAAGATGGCGCCACAATAAAACGTTTTGAGACTTGATGTCTTTGGAAAAGTTGTTTGCCTTGACAAAATAAACAACTCTTTTCAAGACGTAAAATTTCCACACCCTACTGGTTTCGAGTTATATCAACAATCAATACGAAACTAACGATTTTAAATTGGCTCACTACTTGACTAGCCTATTGGTCCCAAGCAAATCGATTAACTTCCCCATTCTAGTCGAGATTCTAGTACTACACAATGTTTGTTTTGATTCGCTATGAAAGTTTGACAGATAAAATGAGGGGTTTGTGGATTTTCTTATGTTTCGAGGGGTGCATCGATAAGCTTGGGACCGAAGAGAGTACCAGAGCTGAGCCAAAAAGTTGAGCACGTTTCTTCGGGACTATCTGGTCTTAGAGTTACCTTTATGGTTATATCATAGAGGTAACTCTAAGACCACTGGGTCCCGAAGAAAATCATTATTATTTTTGGCTCACTCAGTACCAGAACAACGGTCCCAAGCAGTCCCAAGCTATTTCACTCACCCCTGCATGTTCTGCATGAATCCACACACCCCTGATGTTATCTGTCAAACTTTCATAGCGAATCAAAACAAACATAGTGTAGTAATAGAATTTCAACTAGAATAGGGTACGTTAATCGTTTGCTTGGGACCAATAGGCTACTAAAGTGGTGAGCCAATTTAAAATCGTTAGTTTCGTATTGATTGTTGGTTATATGGTGTTAAAGAAAAAAATGTCGAAAATATGGTTTTTCATTCTGTTTCGGTTTTTTTTGCTGACAACCATATAATGTTATATTTTTCGCTTATGCATATGCATTAAATAAATAACTTTTGTGAAGAAACATACTGGTTTAAGCTTCAAATTTTAAAGATATTGTCGAAAAATCGAAAAAAAAACAACAATTTGCGAACTTTAATATCACTCAAAGCGCAAAACATCGCAACCTGACATTTTCAGCAAAAATTAAGCAGTACTCGATAAACAAAATATCAAAATTTGAGAGAGGTATATTTTGGTGTTTTTGAGACTTCGTCATTTTAGTGGAGTATGTATATTTTTTTTTCTATAACTTTTTTTTATGCATTGAAATGGCGTTTAGAAGACATGACGACGGAGACAAACTAGTTTATCTTGATAAAATAAACAACTTTTCTGAAGAATTCAAAACTCCCACAGCCACATTTGAGTATTTTTTTTTTAATTTTCACTTTAAAAAATTGTTTATTTTTCCATGAATAAACAAATTGTCTCCAATTTTGTCTAAAACTTCATTCCAATCAGAACGGCCGTTTCCGTGCTACAATTTTGTGAAAAAAATCAAAGACGTCATTTTGAAAATTATATAAGATCCAAAACTGCTGAATTTCAGCAAAAATGCGAAAACTACAAATCAAGAATACTGGCAACTCTGCCAAAAATCAGGAGACAGTAACGGCAACGCCTCTCCTGAGCAAAAGTGGAACCTGTGATGATGGTGTGTGTTAATTCATGAGTGCTTTCACACACATAGGTAGAAATAAATAGCTGTCAATAATTTGTTTTGTTATGATTGTCGTAAAAAGGTGAAACGTTTCTTTCTTTGCTTTATGCTGACGAGTATAATTCCAGCTGAAATTGAACTGATGCGTAAGTAAATTTGTTTTGAAAATTGAAACTATGGCAATGATGCCATTCACAATGATGGTGGGACCTTCCTCGATTATTAATTTGCTATCTCAGAATTATCTTCCACTTGGCACAGTACCAACTTGGCAAAGTACTCGCTGACCATTTGAATGTCACTGGCCAATCCGACACTGTTGTTATCATTCTCTGGAAGGGGTCAGTCGATTCCAAGAATTGTTAAAGCATACAGAGGATCACTCTCCGCTGGTTTCATGTTCTGACAAACAACAGCTAAAATGGAAGTATATTCTTTATCAATACGTACCGTTTGGAATCGTAGTCCTTCAACCTTTCATTTTCATTTTTTCCCACATTAGATCCTGCTACGCCTTCCGTTGAACCAACAATCAATACGAAACTAACGATTTTAAATTGGCTCACTACTTGACTAGCCTATTGGTCCCAAGCAAACAATTAACGAACCCCATTCTAGTCGAAATTCTAGTACTACACAATGTTTGTTTTGATTCGCTATGAAAGTATTCCGCATAATTCCTCAAAGTATCCAAAGCAATAGTCTGATTTGGATAGAGATACAGATCTAAAAACATCAAATTAATGCTGGAGTAAAAACGCAATGGAAACACCATCGAAATTAACAATCACAAAGTCAAGAATTATCCTCTTATAACTCCAAAAACTCACTCATGTGGTTACATAATTATCGCAACCACCAGCTGGCAACGGACACAGCAAGTGAGAGCCCATCCCTCCCCTAATTGATAGTCAAGTGACACATCCCGGGTGTGGCGGACATGGGGGACACATGGGGAAGGAAGAGGTAACCCCGCCATACCCTCATTAAACATAAACAAGCCACCCGGGACGTGTCCAAACAAATGATGTCCAATGGGTGCATGTAGCAATGTTGAGCGGAGCTGAAAAGCTATGTAAATTTTCCACACGTTGACCACCGCCAGTACCCGAGCAAAGCTGGATATCAAATAGAAATCAAAATTTGCTGTTATTATGTAACTTATTTTGAACACCCAAGTTGATCTCATGTTGGAGCGAAATTTTACACTGTTGAATCAAAACTAATCCTGCTTTCAAATGAAATCAAATTGATTACTGATTTTGTATTATTAAAATTTAACTGAATACGGGCCTGGCGTTAAACAGTAATCGTTCCCCCTTATTCTGCGCCGCGAGTGAGGTGAAGTGACTCGCTGTCACTATTGCGGTGACAAAAGTCGTCGCAAGTGACGTGACTCTCCGTGCTAACCAAATAGAAAGTCACCTCACTCGCGGTGCAGAATAAGGGTGGTTAGTTCAACGATAGATGAACATACATTACATTTTCAGCAAGAGAAAATGAGCTTTCATTTTGTTACCCGACTTTGCTCGGGTACCTATCAGAGAAGAACAACAGAGGACAAGACCAAGCTCATTTACATATGCACAAGAGCCCCCCCCTCCTGATGGTGACGGTCGGGACGTCGAAAATCCATGTTGAAAATATTTTAATGGACACCGACCGACTGACTGGACGCTTCCCACGTGGGCACCAACTACAACATAGCCTAGAAGACAGTCTGTTCCAACGGTCCTCAGGCTTCCGGGCGGAGTTCGGTTGGAATTTTATAATATTCAATAGAGCAACACACAATAGGACAGACTGATTTTGCAACCCATTCTTTCCCATGGGATTGAACGTACCTAATACATATAATAACGTTAACACACAAGTTATTTTGATTGAAATTTACGAGCAGCAGCAGCAGGAAAAAAGCTGACAGCAATGAAAACAAACCAGAAAGGAATATAGATAAAATGTTCATAAATTTATAGCGAAAAAGAAGGTATCGAATGAAAGCGGGCAAGAACAAAGAAACGTCTACATCATAGAGAGGGTTGGATAGAGGGAAGGGCACATGTCATGCAAAAAGCAACAGAACAAACTCTAATAATAATATACCTAGTATGTCCCTAGTACCCATATAGGAAAAATTGCGCAGGATAGGGAAAGGATGATGATTCTGCGGCGGGACGAGATTCCAGCAGAAAATTTCGCCCACACAACGACAGACCGATAGGCTAGATAGCATAGATAGACTACAGGATCGAATGATGGCGATAGAAGCGATAAAGCATAACATTCTACTAACTCGCATCGGACTTCTCGCCGGGTAAGGTCTTCCGGTACTCACCCACTAGGACTGTCACCTGGACGTTGATCTTGCCGTTCTCGTTGTTGGAGGTGGAGTACACTTCCGTCGCCGTGGCCGTCGCCGCCGGTGCCGCTGCCGTCGTCGTCGCCGCGGCATTTGGAATGTTCGATTGTTGATTGTTACTACTATTACTACTACTGACTAGATTACCATTGACTGAGGATGGAGAGGAGGATGATAAGGCTAGTATCTTGTTGTTGTTGTTGTTGTTTATGTTGAGGCTGTTGTTATTGTTGTTCAGCATCTTTCCGCCGCTGGTTTCGCTCACGTAGGAATCATTGTCCTTGCCCTCGGGTGATCGGCGGTCGTACTGGTTGAGCGACGGCGGTTGCGAAGAATACGCCGACGAGGTGGTGGATGATGGGTTCGTAGCGGGACCGTAGTTGTGGTCTTTACTGCTAATGTTGTTGTTGTTGTTATTGTTGTTGTTCAGGTTATTGTTGTAACGAGTATTGTTATTCAGTCCGTTATTCAACGCCACATTCGTCGTGCAGTCACCACTGTTGATGCTATTGTTATTTACAGAGTTTAGATGACCATTGTTGGTGTTCTTGGTGTTGGTGTTGTTGTTGTTATTGACGACGGCTGTGAAATGGAGGGAAGAGGAATTGAGGGGATTGGATTGATTAGAAAAACGTGAACATCGGATGATTTGGTTATTGATATCACCGTTTGTCGTTGAGCTGTTGTTGGTGCTGGTGTTCGACGTCGGTCCATCCGGTGTCGTGTAGCCCTGGAAGAGACGATAAAGATGAAATGGAAAGGGTTAGGCATTTGATTTGAGTCAGATATACATAGGAAGTAAATACATATAGATTGGCATAGCTCTATCTAGAATGGAAGATTTCAAATTCACACCATGTTTAAACCACAAAAAAAAAACCCTTTCTAAAACAGTCACAATGGCAGTAAAACATTCCAGAAACGACGCAAAAAGAATAATTCCCCGTCACAAACGGCATACCATCAGACACAACCTTTCAATTTGTTTTGACCCTCATTTACGACTCAGCAGTTTCTGCTCTGGCACACCCACCCGATAGCGCAGTCCAACGATGGTATCCTTGTCCAGCTTGTCCCACTTCTTGTCCCGCACCTTTTCCAGGTAGAACACTCGCTTCATTTTCTTCGGCTGAATTTTCGGGCCGTCCGTTGCGACACTCACTAACTTCACTATTTATCACTGTCACTGAAAACCGCTCCCGGCCTACTTATCGTCTGCACGATTAGGTTTTTTTGTTTTGTTGTTTTCACCGATTTGCCTAAATTCATCACATTAGCCTTTGCCCTAGCTCATCCAATGGGAAATAGCGCGCCTCGGATGGTTGTTGATTAGGAAGTTCCAACGAACCACAGACAGATAATGCTCCTCCAGCGGGGGTCACCACCAAAGAATCACTGAAATCCCTTCCCCCAAGAGCCGAGCAGAACAGAACAGAACGGAACGGATATCGCATGTGTGAACTTCATTACCATCACCGGCACCGCCACTGCCGCCGCTGGCTGCCGTGTGTGACGGTGACCGCGCGTCTTCCTTGTTCATCGTCGGTCACACCCCGCTGCACATCCATCCACCTCCACCTTGTTATTGTTTTTATGTTTTTCTTTTGCTTATTACGACGGCGATGATAACTAAAAAGCCATTAAATTTGGCCTCCCTAAGGTCAGTCGTGCAGTACCAGAATGACGACTGCTCTAGGATCTAGATGCAATCGAAGAACATCCTATTGGGTGGTTATGAATGAGCCCAAAACGTCACGTCACGTGTGCAATAAAAAGCGAACGGAAATTCCGAACTTCTACCCGCGGATTTATGGGGTACAGAATGGTTATCATTATGTGAGCTGTGCAGTGCACGCATTGCACACGAAAATTGCCAGTTTTTTGTTTGTCCAAAGGTGGAAGTAAGGAACGCCGCAAAACCCGAGGTCTGAAAAGTGCACGTTCGTAAACAGTAAATCGCTGTGGTAAATTTTACGGGCACGGTAAGGTATGAATTATGTAATCGAAAATTTAGATTAATTAATAGTAGGTTGATTGGAAATTGCAAGGCACCAAGGGTTTCCATTCCATTCCATTCGAAGGCACATCGGGGCACATGGCTGACTGACGACGGGAAAACCAAACGTTGGCTATTAGCGAAGGAAGGCAGGCGCGATGTAAACTTGGACGGAATATAGTCGACCATATGCAGTGGGGAAAACGAGGTGCATCGCGAGGCTATGTAATTTGGAGGAAACGCAATGGGATGTGTGTTTTGTTCCTCCGCTGTTGAAACTCCGTCATCCATTTAAAGAGCGGGGGAACAAAAGCGACGACGAACTCAAATGGCCTCACCTGTTTACATCTCATTGCAACTGTCGCTCCCCCCATCGGAAGTCTGAGATGCTCCAAAGCGACAGACCGAGAAAATCGAATTTGAAAGGTTGCTTTGAAGCGAAGACAGCACATCAAGAAGACTGGCAGTTTTCATGCTTTTAAAAATAAACTCCAAGAGAGAAACACCAGCTCGCCATCTACCGCCCAAACGGAAAAGCTCCGAACGAATTTCGATAGCGAAGCGAATTTGCTCATGTTTTTTTTTTCTAATGCAGTGGGTCTACCTTTGCTCAACTCCATTTGTCCCTTTGTCGATTCTGATAGAGTTCTCTTCGTCTGTAGGCACAATAGTACTTGCATTAAGAAAGGGACAAACTTTGAAGTTATTTTTAGAAGCTTGGATGGATCATTAGCCCGAAATTTGGTTGACTGCTCTGTCATTCGGCTGGAACATTGTTAGAATTTGGTGAAAGAAGTAGGGTGCTCCACTACTTCGTCATACGGGACACATTTCCGTCATATGCCTCAAAAACAATGAAACCAATTAGCTATATCCGACATTTGTGTATCAAATGCTTTGCTCACGAGTTAACCCAGGTAACAGGTTTTAAAGCATGCTACAAGTGTAAATCATGGTCTACAGAACCCTCATAAAACCAAAATTGTTACTTGGGAAATTAAGGCTGATGTAAAATAAATTCTACGAGATTGTCAAATTATGGATTTAAGGGAGGTGTGACGAAGTAGTGCCGACATTTTAAGATATTTTAGTTATTAAAAAAATTCAAAAACTTTTACCGAAAATTACTGAACTTGTTTCAATCGTTTAAAGTTTTCCTAGAAAGACTTAATTTTTATTTAACACTTTGTCTCGGACGTCATTTTGATCAGAATTGACGTTTTCGTGATACAATTTATAGAAAAATGTCAAAGACGCCAAAACAACTACAAGGGACAGCCCTAAGGGGTTGTACGCAATGGTGACGTACGACTTTGTGGTCTTATATAATAAATCTTATTTGTTAACTGCAGCAGGAGCTTGTGTTTTGTGTAGGAATAGGAATTTGAGCGAGGTTCTCTCTGTTTATACTATTTAGTATGACGCACTTGACATAGATGGCCCACAGCGACTCACGAAGAGCTACTGATTCCGATCAATAGCGGTGCGGCTTCTTCCTCCTTCTATGAATGCTTATGTGAGCTGCAGCTCGCTGCTTGCAGGCAGCCTTTCGTTGTGTACTGGTGAACAATGTTCAACACCACGCGCCGAAAGCACTGCTGCCGATGATGATGCCGACGACCGGACACCACCACACATGGTGATTGGAACTGAATTCGATCAGCGGTTGAGGGCAGCCTTGATAGCTAGCTGCTTGGCGGGGAGCCTCTCGTAGTGTACTGGAGAACGCCACCACTCACCACGCGGTGATTGAATAAACACCGTTTGGTGACACCGGATGGAATTCAACTTTGAAATCTGTGTTAGGGAAATCGCTTTTCGTAGGCAATTGGTGGTAATTTTAACTATCGTAGCAACGGTTGCAATTTCGTGCAATTTTCAACAGTGAAATGATGCGTAGAAATATTTCTGATCGATTGGTGATAAAATTATTGAAATTGGTCCAGGAACAGCTGAGTTATTAACTTTCAAAATCTTTCATAGTTTTGTTACATGTTCCATTTTCTGTTTTCACAAAGTGTACCCCTATATAGAAATCACAGACGTAGTCCTACGTCAAAATCAAGAAGATCCACAATGGTCGATTTCCATGAAACTTTGCATAATTGTTTGTTATGGGAAATAATTCACATTATTGCTAAAATTCGACCATTTTGGCTCTTATAAAACTTTCAAAATGGCATCCTTTAAATCAATGTTTTGTCAATTTGGTAGTGATTTCCCGTCACCGACATATTCTATACATTGTTGAAATTGTCTAGCGTCAACGAAGCTGCCAATCATGGCTTTCAATTGAAAGTCATTCTGTCTTCGCTTCGAGCAGATCCCCTTCAACATCAACAGAACCACTTGCGATCAGTTTTCATGCTGTTTGCTTTGGCTTGACTCGTGTTCGTCTTTCATTGTCAAATGAACTTACTTCCGCGATGAAACGAAGCTGTTCTGACTTTTGTTGATTGTTCATTCGGTTCATTTAGGCAAGGGCATGGGAATAGATCTGCGTACGTGGATGTCAAATTTATCACTGTCAGGTGGTTTGTTTTGGCTTCCATTCGTTTCCATCTATTAACGCCACTTTTAAGCTGGGTTTAGACAGGGCAAGTCCAATGATCAAGTCAGTTGAATTCAATTGACTTGAAAAGTTGAGCCTGGTTCAACTTTTTTCAATTAAAGTGAGTTGATCAAGTCCGTTCAATTCGCCTTCAAGTCAGTTGAATTCAACTGAGTTGATCATTTGACTTGCCTAGTCTAAACCCAGCATTACTCCGGTGTGAAATGAAAGAAACAGAAGGAGAACAAAATGTGAGGTTCGGGACCATGAAATCAAGATCACACGTGTCAAATTCCGATTTCAGAAAAAGTGGGAAATACTGACGCTGACTCATCAATATGGGTATTTTTGGCATCCGGGTGACGTCTAGAGGCCGGAAATCGATATCCGGCGCCATTTTGCAATCCAAGATGGCGGCTTCCGATTTCAGAAAAAAAGTTGGAAATAATGATGCCGATCCATCAATATGGGTATTTTTTTAAATCGCGGTGACGTCTAGAGATCGAAAATTGATGAATTGAAATCCAAGATGGTGAATTCCGATTTCACGTATTTTTAAAATCGCGGTGACGTCAATATAGGGATTTTTGACATCGGGATGATGTCTAGAAGCTGAAAATTTGGGGGCGACCCCGGCGTAGTGGTTAGCATTCATACCTCTCACGACAAAGTCACGAGTTCAAATCTCACCCCGTACAAGTCACGAATGACCCAAGAGCGTTAAAGTGACTATAATAAAAAAAAAATATATATATATATCCGACGCCATTTTGAAATCCGATTTTGTAGCCTCCGATTTCATAAAAAGTGGGAAATACTGACGGTGACTCATCAATATGGGTATTTTTGGCATCCGGGTGACGTCTAGAGGCCGGAAATCGATATCCGGCGCCATTTTGAAATCCAAGATGGTGGATTCCGATTTAAGGTATTTTTAAAATCGCGGTGACGCCTAGAGATCGAAAATTGATCTGCGACGCCATTTTCAAATTCAAGATGGCGGCTTTCAGTTTAAGAAAAAGTGGAAAAATATGAGTATTTTTGAAATTAGAGGCCAGAAATCGATGTCCGACGCCATTTTGAAATCCAAGATGGCAGCTTCCGATCTAAGAAACAGTGGAAAACACTTGCGCCGATCAATGAATATGGGTATTTTGGAATCGGGGTAACACCATTTAAAATCCAAGATGGCGGCTTCCGGTTTTAAGAAAAAGTGCGAAATACTGTTAAATATCCATCAATATAGGGATTTTTGACATCGGTATGATGTCTATAGGCTGAAAAGTGATATCCAACGCCATTTTGAAATTCAAAATTGTGGCCTCCGATTTCAGAAAAAGTGGGAAATACTGACACTGATTCATCAATATGGTTTTTTTTTTAATCCGGCTGACGTCTAGAGGCCGGAAATCGATATCCGGCGCCATTTTGAAATCCAAGATGGTGGATTCCGATTTCAGGTATTTTTAAAATCGCGGTGACATCTAGAGATCGAAAATTGATCTGCGACGCCATTTTCAAATTCAAGATGGCGGCTTCCAGTTTGAAGAAAAAGAGGAAAAACTGTCAAATACCCATCAATGTAGGTATTTTTGGAATCGGGATGATGTCTAGAGGCTGAAAAT